GGGTGTGCACAAATGCCCCGGCGGGCGCCATGGCACCCGCGGGCACCGCGTTGGGGACCACTGTGTTATGCTAATCTAACAATGGAGAAACAATATTAACATAGATTAAATTAATTCCAAATGGAGCTGTGGTTTGAAGTTCAATTCTCATCAGATGTTAAGTGACTGAGGAAAGAAAACTGACCTTTGCTGTGCTCCCTGATTCTGTGACCTAGTAACCTTAGGCCCAAATGCTGCTGATACTAGCGTAAGGGCAATTAGATCACCAGGCTATTTATTAACTAAAATAATTCCAGGCAATATTTTGGCAACTTCCAAATAAAATTGGTCTAAAATGACACTATCATCATACTATAGATAAAGTGAGCATTCCATTTCAGAAATTCATATAAAGTTTTCTTCAATACTTTTTTCTTTTGGGATAAAATTTTCTAAATTTTGAGGCAGTGTTTGAAGGAGGAGGCCAGACTGCTTCAAGTTGATAGAACTGCAGCAGACTGGCTGATCTTTCACACAGATTCTTCACAGGCTTTCCCATTTCCTCCCTTACACCAATCTCTCTCCTGTAGAAAAAAATCTTCCTTCCCTCCATACTCTGAAACACAACAAGGGTATTCAACAGCCCATGGACCCAAACACGCCTGCATACATCAGAGCATCCATCAATCAGGTGCTTTAAGAGCATGCTATCTCAAGGAATCAAGGGTTCTTAGAACATACAATCATTACTGTGTCTTATTTTCAGGAAAAATATCTTCAGTCCAGCAACTGGTAGTAATGATATACTAGTAACTTGATGCACAGATTTGTCTGCAGTAATGTAGTATTCAGACTTAGCATCATGGAGGTTTAACAGTGTATTCCTAAAAGTAATGCTAGTGTCACAATGTTTTCTGTTAATTCATATTAGATTGATTAAGTTCCAGCTACTCCTATTGCACCAGCAATAATTGAGCAATTATTGCTGAATCATGTTTAAAACAGATTCTGGAGACAGGGGAAGACTTTTTTTAATCTTAATTGGGTGGGTATTAATTTCTCAGGATAATTTTCAACCTTGTGGCATTCTTTAAAAAATATGAACTAAAAGAAAATAAACCAACTTTAAAAAAAATAGAAAAGTGATGCTCGGGAGGTACATGTGGTACTCTCTCTTAAAGGAGACTGTTACAATTTGGCCACATCGACCATTCACTAGTTCTGGAACCCAAGAAAGGAAAAATGACTGAATCCAACCAATATATCCAAAAGTTACTTTCAGGGAGATCATTAGTGACACTAGCCTCCATGGGAATTTTGCTAGGAATAAAGAATAAGAATGGCAGACTATGGCTCCAAACGCCTAATCGAAGGAAAAGTATACCCAAGATTTACTCTTACCCTCATAGGCTGTTCCACACCAGATACAATAAAAATGCTCTTCTCTTAAATAGGTGGTCAGGATTTGTAACTTCTCTAATACCTATATATAAACACAGAGAGAGAGAGAGAGAGATTTTACAGCTTTAAGTAGCAATCACAATCAAACAGTCTAACAGAGGCCTCAGTGGTGTGCTCTTTCCTGCTAATCAATAGTGTCTGGTGCTAAAAAGGACAAGCTAAGAAAAGATCAGATGATGCTGCAATCAGAAACACAGACACATTAGTACATAGTAACTGATACTACAATAGAGGTACCGAAATGATGTTTGGTGGTGTACACTGATCTGTAGAGAGCTTGCTGGTTAAAGGATGTTGGCTGTTATTTATTTTCACCTACTGAACAATTAAAGTATCTTATTTCAATTGAGTGATATTCCTGATGAGTTGTTTTGTTTTAAATTACCCACCTCCACCACAGACTGAGTTCATCAGATTAACAACAGCTTTGTGGTGTTTTGGGCATAAAGGACATGCTTTTCAAAAAGTGATTGATTTGAGTGCCCAACTTTTGAAAGCTCTGAGTTTGAGATATTACTCAGCATTTTCTGAAAACTAGATCCACCAAGTGTGAAATTGGGTAGCTAAAAATAAATCCCCTTACATCATTACACTGTTTTGAAAATCTCGGGCCAAAGGTGTGGTAGTTGTCATTTAAATTTGCTCCAAATCAACAGGGCTGGCCTTACCATGAGGCGAACTGAGGTGGCAGCCTCAGGGGGGGGGTGCCACTAGGACCCAGAGTGTAGAAAATTGTCTGCTGCTGGTGCATATGTATTCTCTCTGCTCTAGATGCACAGAGATGGTGGAGTGCTGTGCTGGAGGAAGGAAGGCACAAGAGACATAACTGGCAGGCAGGAGAAAAGGTGGCATCATTTGAGCTCCCTGCCTCAGGTGCCAAAATGTTGTGGGCCGGCCCTGCAAATCAATATGATCATGCTTTATACTCCACCTAATATTGCGAAATTACTTTGCAAGGCAGAGAGGCCACTTTGAGCTTTGATATGCATGTATATGTAGGCTCCCTTTACTATAGGAACCTCTGACTTTTGCTGGGAGGATCCTTTGTGCTGCAATCTAGCTTTAGAGACTACAACTCACAGGAGCCCTTGGGGAAAAAGGAGGGAAAACTGTTTCCCTCTTCTAGGCAGTGAGAGAGAGAGAGTTGGGGTGGCAGGGAAGGGCACTCCATTTTGGAAAGAGGAGCCAGATTGCTGGTGTGGAACCTTTTCCATGCCAGGAGCTGCTGTTGGAAGCTAGAGCCTGCTGCTGAGAGCTTGCTGGGACTTGGATCTAGCAGGCTGCTTCAGGAGCTGTTGGTGTGATTATCGCTGGAGGGGAGAGACTTTGGCTATGCCTGTGGATGAAAAGGGCCTGCTTAACCTTCCTTAGGAGTAACTGTGGCTCTTGGGGAAAGTGCTGCCTGGGTGAAAGCACAGAAAACAGACTGACTCTGGGATTATCTGCCCAGTGAACCAGAGCTGCTGGACTGCCTTGCCTAGACTGGCTGCTTAGCTTGGACTGACACACACAGTGCTGTCTCCATTCCAGCTGGAGACCATCAAGTGTGCCCATGCAAGCCTCTGGGACTCTGAGATCCAGAGGAGGGCACACACTGGGGTGGGATAAATGGTGGCAGTGTAAATGCCAGTTAGATAGGTTTCCTTTAGTTCTGTGTACTTCGTTAAATGATATTTTTCACTTTTAGTATGTTAAATCCTGTTTCTTTAGAATGAACATGCCTTTACTTAACAACTTAATCAATTAGATGTATAATATTTATAATTGTTTTGGTGCTAGATCCAGACTGCTGGAATAATTTTATTCTTGGAGGCTCCCAAGGCACACCATTAAGTGTATCCAGGGCCAGCCAGGTGGAGGCACTGCTACTGTATATTCCTTTAGGTGCAAGGGACTACAGCAAGGGGGTGGATAGGGAATCCCCAACTATACAACATCACCTCTGGGGTACTCAAGATCTCTTTTAATGTTAAAACCATCAGGCGCCCTGGTGAGCACGGCCTGTTTCTGAGTAACCCAGGGAGAAAAAGAGAGGGTTACACATATTTTTACAAATAAAAACAGATTCATACAGACTTTTATTTCAACACTTACACTTAAGTCTGAATCTTTGTATTCATTCTTTTCTTCCTCCTCTTGATCCTTTTCTTCTTGCTCGGGTTCTACCCAGTACCAAATCTCCTTGGGAACTTCAATGCCCTTGTAAAAAAAAATATTATTATTTTTTTTTTAAGTAAAATTCTCTGTCTCCAGGGGTTTCTTCAGCAGATATCCAATAAAAGCAGTTTTGTAATGGGACAGGTATCACTTTATAAATCTTGTTATAATTTTGGATACAAGCTTGAAGAATAGAACTGAGCACATTAGACTACACAAAAGGTTATTTGTGGTTTTGTTGCTCTTTGAAAACAACATAAAGTCATGCTAAAATAAACTTCTGTGCCAGATATGCTGGTAAAGTCCCCTTCTTACATTCCTTTTGTTTGCTTTTTAATCTCATTCTCTATCAAAAAGCCTTCTGAAAGAGGACACTTTTACCATTAAAAATCTTGATTCTGCACACGCCCATAATTGTGAAGCTCCTTCATCATGTATTATGGCAGGTAAGTAGCCTTATCTGAGCCAGACAAGCTACTGAGACATATAAACAGCAAATGGTCAGTAAGTCTAAGGATGTAACTTCTGGTGCACATGAGCTCTATTGGACGATGTGAAGAGGCTCTCGCAGTGCAGCATTCCCCCCAGGATGACTACTAGAAAGTTACCAATAGGCACACACCACTCCCATACCCTCTGAAGATACTATCGGTGTGTCCAGTAGCTGTTCCACTGAACATTCATGGACTTCCCAGAACCTCTGCTCCCAAAGGAAAAGTACCCCCACGCTTGCCAGTTACACCTCAGATCATAGCTTTGCTTAAAATACAAAACACTTACATGTGTTTACCGAGAAAGTATAAATGTATGTAAAAGATTCAAATGGTAGCGCACAGAAATATTAGAAACCAAGGATTACATATAAAATAAGTCATAACACACATACCCGAGCCTACACTTCATTAACAAGATGTGGCCTTATTTAAGTTCAGCTCACCCCAACATTTTTTCACTGTTTTTTTCAGCCAAGCCTAACTGTGACCAATGTTCCCTCTAAGATTTTCCATCTGTGAGCAGAATGAGTTTTGTCTTGTGCACCAATATTGATGTCATGTGCGTTTATGGATGTGTGCCACCATGACACCCACCAGTTACTAACTATATATATATACACACACACACACACACACACACACACACACACACACACACACACACACACACACACACACACAGAGAGAGAGTTAGTGCTAGCTGTGTAACAGGGCAGAAGATGGGGCAGGTGCTAATACATCTGCACAGTAAGTGGGGCTTTCTCTAAAATATATATATTTTAACTTGTTATGGAAAAAAGCCC